CTCTCAGGCCCCAGTGACTGCCATATCCTCTGCCATTGCTCTGTCTAAGCCACTGAGGAGGCACTGTTCTGACGCATGCACTCTATTGTCAGATCACCCATCCTGGACATGGACTCTCACATCCCTGCATGCCCCCACCCGAGTCATCCCCCAGACCCCTTCAAACCCACACACCAAGCCCTGACCAGTGCACCGCTGGGTGGCAGGTGGGCTTCAACCAACACTACTGGCACCCAGGCTGCCTGACCCAGGCTGCTTGACCCAGGTCCCACCAGAGCCCTCACCTCTGGAGCTCATGGACCTGTCACCTACCATGCAAGCATTCCAAAAGGCCGGGTGATCTGGTCCCCCACCGAACCCCTGCCCCTGGGACTCACAGATCCAGCACCCTTTCGCATATCTTTAGAAGAAATAAAACCAGACTATGCTAGGTGACTATGCTGGCACACTGGCATGGTTAACACAGATTGGCATTAGCCAGGCCTACCTGCCAGCTGTTGATTTTCTCTCAGCAGTGTAACACTTGCCTAGGTACAGTGCCACCTAGGCCATTGCCTACAGCTGGGGCATTGCTCCCTGCTAACATGCCAGGGAAAGCAGTGCAAGAGGACTCAAGTTCGTGGGCCTCAGCGCCCTCGTGGAGATGAAGCTCCTCTCTGACTTCGGCTGGCCCGGCCCTGGCCACTGCACTCATTTGGGGAGTGAACTAGGCCATACAACATCTCTGTCTTCTGTTTCTGTTCTCGCTTCCTTTCAAATAAATATATCTTAGAAAAAATAAAATAAACAAAGGGTGTATTTCTGGCCTTACCAGGTTTCCAGAGTGACTTGGGCACATGAGCAGGAAGTTGCCATGGAGCCATCTGTGAAGGCTTAGCTAGCCACCAGGGTCCTGAGACACGTGCATGGTGGTCACAGGCCTGTGGCAGGGCTGTCTGAGGCCAGGGTCTCATTGGCCCATGTTCAGGGGTCATTGACATCACTAGTTTGAGCTGAAAGGGAAGGCTCTGTTGTGGTGGCTTCTGTCCCTCACACAGTGGCCAGGGCAGTGTGACTGGGCATGGGGGCTGGCAGAGAGGGGAGGTGGCACGTGTGGAAAGGCAGCTGCGCCTGGCAGGCTGGTGGTAGGCAGAGGACATGGCCTCGTCCCAGTGCGTTTCCCAGGTAACTGGTGAGGCTGGGCCCTCTCTGCATCCTCAGCTCTGGCCAGGGCCCGGCCTGAGTGCATGACAATTGCAGATTAGAATCAGCAAGGCACTGAGCGACTGGCTAGCCAGCTGCTGCCACTTATGTCCTTCACAGAGCCCTGCCACGGGCCTGTCATTGTCCTGGAGGCCACAGGGCTGACATCAGGGTCTCTGTATTGTGCTGGGCCTTGGTTTGAGCCCCTTTCCTGGTCTGCAAGTGGTGTCACCTTTGGCAGCCTGTCGGCACAGAGAGAGGTTGCAAGTCTCTTTCTGTTCTTGCAAAGGTGCGAACCCTGTGGTGATGAGGGGACCGTCCTCCCAGCAGCCCCCTGCAGGGACCAGTTCTCCCCCACCCTGAGCTTTCTCCCTCTCTTTCTCCAGCTCTCCGTGTTCCACTGGCAGAACTTCTAGATAAGCAGATTTGTTTTCAACTGTGCATACACTAAATACGGGAAAGTCAGAAGTCCCACGAAGCAGTAAAGCAGGCGGGTTTCAGCGGCCTCAGCTTCTGCGTCGCTGGTGTCCAGAGCCCTTTTGCTCGTCCCCTGGCTCTCTGTTTACCAACACTGTGAGATGGGGATACCCGCTAGGGCATGTGTCACTGCCCTAGTTGGCAGAGACGTTCTCACAGTGGATCCTCCATTTTCCCCATGTGCTTCCCTGGTGCTGAGCCTGGGTGTCCAGGGGGAGGGCCGCTTGCCTTGAACCGGGGACAGTCCAGGTTAGTGCTTTTAGCGCCACCTAGTGGGATTGCTTGGACCCCTTTTCGTCTTCTGCAAGTAGAGTCCAAGAAATTCTTTTTTTTTTTTTTTTAAGGTTTATTTTATTTATTTGGAAAGGCAGTTATTGTGGTGGGAGGTAGGGGAGTTGTGATAGAAAGTCTTCTATTCGATGAGTCACTCCCCAACTGGCTGCAACGATAGGGCTGGGCCAGACCAGAGCCAGGACCTTCTTCAGATCTTCCACAAGGATGCAGGGGCCCAAGGGCTTGAGCCAATCCTCTGCTGCTTTCCCAGAATATTAACAGAAAGGAGCAACTTGGACTCGAACCAGCATCCATATGGGATGCTGGCCTTGCAGGCAGCAGTTTAACCCAGTATTCCACAGGGCCAGCCCCAAGCAGTCTGTTTTCAGATGAAGAAGCAGACCCCAGGGCCCAGATTACGCTTCCTGTGATGTTCGCATCCCGCGTGGGTGCTAGTTTGTGTCCCTGCTGCTCCCCTTCCAACCCAGCTCTGGGAGAGCCGCAGCACGTGGTCCAAGTGCCTGGACCCCCACGCCCATGTGGGAGACTTGGCTGGAGTTTCTGGTCTTGGTTTCAGTCGTGGCCACCTGGGGAGTGTACCAGTAGCTGGAGATCTCTCTTAGTGCCTCCCTAGCTCGCTCTCAAACTTTTCCTTTCTAACAAATAGGTATATTTTGAAATACACGTATATCCACCCCACCTCCACTCCCGGGGTTCTGGGACTGATAATGGGATGGACAGGTTGCCAGGCTTGCCAGCGACAGGCAGTACTGGCAGTGAGTGGCAGCACCCCCCAGGAGGTCTCGCTGGGACGAGTGTCCTCAGGCCACGCCAGGCAGTTGCCGTCCCTGCGAGATGGACATCATCGTGGACCATTTTTGTGTGAAAGGGAAAGGAAACCTTCTTGCTGTTTCCTGGAAATGTCATGTTGTCACACCCCGGGGGGCAGTGTCGCTGGCCTGGCATTTGTTTGCCGGTGACATCCAACAGGAGCAGAGGGAAAGCAGCCCACGGGCACCCCCTGGCCCTCTTCTGATGCCATGAGTGGCAGTTCCCAAGGTGCCCGTCCCAACAGCCTTGGCCCAACATCATGTGTCTGCAGGAAATTTTCGGCTACTTTCAACTTGTTTTCCTTTGGGCCACAGCTTCAATGTATTTGAGGCTTTCTGCTCGGGGGGGGGGGGGGGAGCGTGCATGCTGGGAAAATGTCAAGTGCTGTCAGCTTACCCAGCAGTGATTGTGTTTAAACTCTGCTGTCAGTCTGTACTGAGAGCTCAGAGGGGGACAGACTGCTTCCCAGGGCCCCAAGGCCACAGATTGGGATCCCGCTAGCTGCCCAGTCAGGGAGCCAGGCTGGGAGTCCCAGCGGTAGGGGTGTCAGGGCACCAGGGAGGAGTTGCTGTGCGCCTAGAAGCTCTTGTCTCAGCTCTGGGCCTCCCCCTGGAGCACTGTGCACTGTCCACTGCTGAGACCCAGCTCGCGACCCGTGCCATGGGTTTTCTATTTATTTATTTATTTATTTTTATTACAAAGTCAGGTATGCAGAGAGCTGGAGAGATAGAGAGAAAGCTTGATAGGAAGTGGAGCTGCTGGGATTAGAACCAGCGTCCATATCGGATCCCAGCGCGTTCATGGCAAGGACTTTAGCCACTAGGCCACGCCGTCGGGGCCATTTTTTAAATTTAATTTATTTATTTTTAAAGATTTATTTATTTAGTTTAGTTACAAAGTCAGATATCCAGAGAGGAGGAGAGCCAGAGAGGACGATCTTCCGTCTGATGATTCACTCCCCAAATGACCACAATGGCCGATGCTGCGCCAATCCGAAGCCAGGAGCCAGGAACTTGCTCCGGCTAGCCCACGTGTGTGCAGGGTCCCAAAGCTTTGGGCCGTCCTCAACTGCTTTCCCAGGCCAGAAGCAGGGAGCTGGATGGGAAGTGGAGCCGCCAGGCACCCATATGGGATCCCGGCACATGCAAGGTGAGGACTTTGGCCAGGACTTTAGCCACTAGGCCACTGCTCCAGGCCCTCTATTTTATTTATTTATTGTATTTAGTTATTTATTGTATTTATTTATTTATAGGATTTTAAAGGCATATTAACATAGAGGAGGAGAGAGAGAGAGATCTTTCATCAGCTGGCTCATTCCCCAAATGGCAGTAATGGCCAAAGCTGAGCTGATGCAAAGCTAGGAGCCTGGGACTTCCTCCATGTCTCCCACATGGGTGCAGGAGCCCAGGTACTTAAGCCATTCTTTGCACCTTTCCCAGGCACATTGGCAGGGAGCAGAGCAGTGAGGATTCAAACTGAAGCCCGCAAGGGATGCTGGCACCGCAGGTGGAAGTTTAGCGTGCCATGTCAAGTTGCTGGCCGCTCCCCTCACCCCTTCCCTGAGCCTCCTGCTCCTCTGCCTGCTGGACCCCAGCAGTGTGTATACAGAAGGTGCTGTCCTTGGAGGCAGGCCAGGCCAGGGCTGGCTGGGCGGCACGAGCCGGGAACGGAGGCCCCGGGATCTCCGGGCCGGTTGTGGGTCTCACGTCTTGGCTTCTGGGTTTCTACTGCAACCTGGTACCTGTTCCCCCAGACAGTCCCCGGCACTGTGCGGGGAGAGACCATTTCCCTCCTTATGGGGTGAGGAGGGGAGGAGGAGCCATGGAGGAGACCTCCACCCTCTGAGACCACCCCCACCACACACACCCTTCCTCCTAGGCCGTCTCCGCGCCCCTGCCCTTGCTCCCGCCCGTTTCCGGAGCTTTGTGGAGGTGCCCGCTTCGGGGCCTGCTGGGTGACGTCATCGTGTCACACACATACAGGAGCCGGGCTGCCGGGGGCTTCGCGGGAGCAGATCCGCTGGCACTGTGCTGCTGCCACCTCTCTGGAGCGCGCACACCCGCCCCGGCTCCTCGGAAGCGCGCGCGGGCGCCTCGGCGTGCACCCTCCCGCGGCGCTCGCCCCTCGGGCCGGGCTCGGGCCGCCGGCCGCCGCTCGCTCCGCCGCAGCCGCCACCACCGCCACCGCCACGGATGCCCGCGGCTGTGCCCCTCTGCAGTGCAGCAGCCCCGGCCAGCGGCCGGCCCGCCGCGGGCTCCCAGCTGGAGGAATCTCGCGGCTAGCCTGCACGCCAGGGCGCAGCGAGGATGGGAGGGTCTCAGTCTCTGCAGCCAGTCCCAGCCAGCGACCTGAACCTGGAGGTTTCCGAGGCCATGTAAGTGCTCCGCCTGGACGCCTATCCGCGCCCTGGAGGAGGAGGCGCGCTTGGGGCTTTGTTAGGGTTTTCTGGGCCTGTGCTGCCTGGAGCCCAGGCCCGCCAGGAGTTCCCAGCACCCTCACCGGGCTTCCTCGGTGGTGGCTGCCCCGCCTCACATCTCATGCCCTGTCTGGGGCGAGCACCTGGCAGCCCCAGGACGCTGCTGGCAGTAGAAATGACCGCCGGATTCCACGTGGGTTGTAGGGCAGTGGGGCACATGGTGTGGAGGGGGTGGCCTGGGCCATTGGCGTCTTGTGTCTGCCCCCCTGCCTGCTGTGGCGATATTTTCTGCTAGGGGACAGCGGGCGGCAGCCACGGCCTCCTCCTAAGAGGAACCCCTGAATGCGGCAGCCCCGGCCCCCCAGACCTGACCGGTGCGTAAAGGGCAGCGCTCCTGTGGCTGGCCGCATGGTTTGGAGCTCACAGCGTGGGGTGGGGGGCATCCAGGCCACTGAGCCTGAGCGTGGTCTGCTGTCCTCCTGGTGCGGTGTGTGTTGGAGGACAAGGCCGCTGCCTATTATTAGTCAAGGCAGCAGGGCAAGCCGGCCATTGGTCGTGGCAATCTGACGATGCGTCCATCCAGGAACCCGATCTTCTGGCTAAATCCCAGAGCCAATGTGACTGGAAGCGGCCGTGGTCCCCAGCGAGTGTTGCTGAGCCCCGCCTTTTCTGTTCCGGTCTCCTCCGGCGCCCCACCCCCCTCCAGGTTGCTTTGGAGGATGGGGGAGGGGGAGGGCTGGCTGCCTAGGTCGGCCTGCTGGCTCACATGTGAGCAGGGCAGGTCCGCGTCCAGAGTGGACCTCCAAGTCCACGCTGAGGTCTGCTCCCCTTTTCCAAAGAGAGAAGAATGAGTGTGTCTGGGGTGGGGGCGTTGAAATATTGCCGGGATTGGTCTGTGTGTTATAGTGGGGTGGGGCCTCCTGGCTGATGTGGTGGGGGGCCTTGGGGAGGCCCCGGCCCCTGCAGGTCATGGATCACAGGCTCTGCCTTTTCCCAGGGAATCTTCCTTGGGAGCAGGTGTGTGTCCATCCATCGCAGTGTTTGTTCCCCCAGCTGAAGAAAGTGTTCAAAGGAAGGAAGCCCTTACATTTGAGGGTTTTTCTTTACAGGTTTTGTGACTGGTACCCTGGACCTGCCCTGTGTCTGATTCGCATGTAGCAGGACTCGGTGTGCAGAATGATGTGTGTGTGTGTGTGTGTGTGTGTGTGTGTGTGTGTGTGTGTGTGTGTGTGTTGCTTTGCGAGCCTCAGGCCTCAGCAGAAAAGATCCACAGGAGCTCATTGTGAACAAGTTTTCAAGTGGAGGACACTTAATTAGCCATTGGCTTGAGCTTGCCTGCTGTCCTGGCTCACGCTGGACAGGGTAGTTTGTCCGTTTGGGAAAACCCACTGCCTGGTCCTCGGAAACCAGGTTCACCAGTCTCGAACAGCCCAGCCCTCCTGTCCAGTGAGCTAATGAGTAGAATTCTGCCGAGTGAGGGAGGCCGAGTTGGGGAAAGTGGACACTAATGAGATGTTAATGAGATGTTGCCTTTCGGGATGCAGTGTCCGGAGGCAGGTCACTGTGCAGGGGCAGTGGTGTTTAACTGCGGCTTGGGGCTGAATAGAGACACTTCGGTGAAGTGCTTATCAAGTAGCTTCTCTTGAGTTGGTCCATGTGCACCAGCCCCAATCTTCTCTTCCATGAACTGCTGCCTCTGCAGGGTCTCTAAATCTCTTTAAAATGGCATCTTTACTCACAGGAAATCCCACCGTCCAGCCCCTAACCTCTGGGTACTGGAGAAAGTGGAGAGCGGAAACGTTTGGGCCGTGCCATTCATCACAGCTTACCTTTGCTCTCTGTACCTGTGCTGGGGATGGCCAGTCTTGCTCTTCCCTCCAGATGTGCTCTCTTCCAGAAGTTGAGAACATGTGTCAGGAGAGTGGCCCTTGTGCCCAGGCGCTAGTCCTTCATGATGGTGTGTGCTGGCCGGCACCGGAGGATGCACACCCGAGTGATACAGGAGAGAGCGGAGGGGGCCGAGGCAGGGACGTGCACAGCCTTGGCAGGGGGATGCTGTCCGGGCCTTGGGCGCTCACCTGCCTGGAGCTGCAGCCCCTGACACCGGGATTCCAGAGCCTGTGTTCCTTGTTCTCCCGTGCCTTTTTAGGAGAGGTTGGCTTAAGTAAAAGGCCCACTGTGTAGGAATGAAACTGCAATGGAGGATTTGAATTTTCCATTTCCACAACTTCCTTCCTTTAGATTTCAGGTGTGAAGGAAGCAGACAGCTTCCTTTTACATGGGAGTGTGGTGAATTGGCAAGGAAGGGATGGGAGGAGCAAGAAGACAAGTGGGAGCAGGGGTGGGACCGATCCCTGGCTACTCCCAGCAAGAGCCACAGGCCAAGCAGCACAGCCTCTGCTTCTCCTCGGGACTTGGACATGTGGACTCCTGGGCCCATTGGACCTACCGGGGCCTCTGGGTCCTATCCCTGGCTTGTAGAGTTGTCTGTGACCTTGGCACAGCAGCGTTTGAGAAGCTCCAAGCCAGTGTGTCTCCTTGCCATCTGGTTCCTTGGAAAACCGTGGCTCTGTAATCATGGTGTGGCAGGCAAAGCCACTCCCCGTGAGGCCAATATCTCGTGTGGGCACTGATTTGTGTCTCAGCCAGTCCGCTTCTAATCCAGCTCCCTGCTAAGGGCAGGAAGAGCAGCAAGGGATGGCTCAAGTAACTGGGCCACTGTGAACCCGTGGATGGAGACCTCCCTCTATATATAATTCCACCTCTCCAAATAATACAGGAAGTCCTCCGGCTGGCCTAGGCCTATCTTCCTGTCTGGGAGGGAAGTCTTGGTGGTCTCAGGTGCCATTTCCAACTAGAAAATGAGCAGCAAGGAGGAGAGCTCGCTTCTTTCTCAGAGGGCATGAGCGGCAGATAGAGAGCCAGGCAGTGCCTGGGTGCCCCACTCACCCATGAGCGCTGCCATTCTTCCCTGCCTTCCATGGTTGCCCTGCTGGCTCCACTTCTGCTCTGTGGAGCAGCGTTAAATACTGCGTGTCCGTGGGGACCCCATTCCAGGAACCTCCCTAGCTCTCTCCAGATCCGCCACCCCAGCCACCCATACCAAGAATGGACACAGTTACTTTGTTGGCAGAACCCTCCCAGGCTAACATAGGTCTTGGCTCCAAAACTCAAGCCACAAATGTGGCAACAGTTCAGCGTGCAGGTGGAGGGTCAGACTGGAGGGGCCCATGGACGGAGACAAGATGAGAGGCAAAGCAGCAGCAGGCTGTGGCGATTGCTGGGGGCCTGGGGAAGGGGTGAGACGACAGCAGCCTGAGTGGATGTTTTATGCCCTGCTGACCACAGAGGACAGGCCACTGGCCGAGAGAGGACCACTCTGGGAGCTACTTTAGGGGAAATTGGAGAGGTTGGGCTGGATTGTGAAAAGCAGGTGGGAAAAGAGGTGGCCGAGAAAGTTGCCAGGACAAGAGAGTGCTTGGGACAGCCTGGAGTGCTCCGGCCACCTGCCGGCCAATCCGTTGCCTGTGTGGTTCCAGGCTCTGTCTTTGCTCCAGCCTGACAGCTGTGGTCAGGGTCTAGTGATTCTGGTCTTGCCCAGCTGCAGGCTGTTTCAGAAGTGAGATGCCACAAAGACTCAGAGGAGGGTATGGCGCCAGACACCTGCGAAAGGAGAGATTTTTCTGCTCTGTACTTGGAAACTGCCAACCTCCATCCCAGTTGCTCAAAGGCCAGGAGGGGCTTCAGGCACACTAGCTGGGACCTCCCTTTGGTCCTTCAAAAAGGGCTGGTTTTTTGAGGCTCCACTTGGCCAAGGCACTGAGCTCAAATGATGCATTCTTGAGGCAGGCTGCAGGCAGCTTCTGAGTTACTGGAAGTAGTTTTCACTTTGGCTGTTATTGTTGGAGAATAGGAGCAGAGTCCCGCCCACCCCAAAGCTGGACAAGCTGCAAAGTTATCTGAAGAATGGACTGGGGACTTGTGCTTCACAGATCCTCACCAAGCTGCGTTGCCCTGTCGTCAGCATTCTCGGAGGTCTCCGGTGCTGCCAATGGCTCGCTGTCTAGTTTAGAGCACTTCTGGCCTTCTAGAATTGTACCTCTGCAGTGAGACTTAACCTGGGGACTCTGTGAGGGGTGCTGAAGACAGGCGCATTCTGAGGCCCTGTGAGGGGAGCTGCCAGTCATCTAAGGGGTGGGCCAGTGCTTCTTACGGGGGCCCTGGGACTCATGTGCTTTGGGGGAGAGGGGTCGAATGTGAACACTGGGGACTCAAATATTGATCAGCTGTGAGCAGGCAGGGGTAATGTCGCAGGGGATTCTGGGTCACTCTCCCATTGGCACTCCCATCTTCATCCCTGTGTTTCTTTCCACTGTCTATGGCCTGTTTCTATGGCTAGATTTTTAGTTGCCTAGGCAACACTTGAACGTGGAATGTGATTGGCTGCTCTTTCCTGATGGATTACTGGAGCCGAGCAGCTCTGAGGGCCAGGGCCGGGTGGGGGGTGGGTGGGTAGGCAAGAGGATGCTGTACCTTTCTGTCCCTTCTCCCGAAAGTGGTTGCTGATGGCTGAGGCTTTTGCACATAGTTGCTCTTGGGCCCACACTTGCCTCTGGTTGGATGAGGTCTTAGGAAGACCACAGAGAGCTGGGGGAGCAGACCTGCTTGCTTCCACACGGCACTGCTGCGGGGCAAGCAGTAGCCGGCGACGCGGGTGCCGTTTCTATTTACAAACTGACTTTAGCAGTTGTATCACAGAGCAGGTGCAGCAAGAACAGGAGCAGAGCTGTAGGTTGCATCTTGAACACCGGGAGCATGCTCTTCCGCTGCAGCCCAGCAGCCTCCGGGCGGCGTGGATTTGCGCGTGTCGCTGTAGACATGTTTCCACTTGTCCTGGGAGACGGGCGAGATTCTGGGATCTGGAAGCTGGAGTGCTCTGCGAGGCCCTGCACCTTGTT